ATAATTCATAAAATAATTCATAAAGCGAAGACATATTTGGTCGATCTATTCTTTCCACTGTATAATACTGCTAGCTGGAGACGTTGGAACTCGTCACGCAGTCAGATGTTTATGCTACAGCAATTAGGGTAGGGCCTGCAGACGTCGATCCTCAGCTACGCTAAAATTTCGAGCTAAACGCCAGTACTAGCACAGGCAATTTCATGTCAGTAGATAAACAAGCATATCGTAGACAACATCGAGAATTAGAGCAGTTTCGCGGAAAACGCGTTTCTTATCTAGTCTTTCATTTTTTATAATTCTTTGTTTGAAGAGATAATGGTGTTTTAGAGTTAACCGAACAGATATCGATCGTCTACGATTAAGATTATGGAGAAAATTCGCACGTGCTGAAACGGGAGTACGTAAAGGACTGGCGTGTAAATAACGTTGGTACAGCCTTCCCAGCGAAGAGGACGTCTAGACGCGAAATAGACGATGATCCGACGGAAGATTTGCAACCACTCCATTACCGAGGCTTTCGATTTCCATAAATCGCGTCCCACGAACCGGTGTCTCGCTCGTCCGGATTTTATGTACCGTCGGTCGACTAAATTTTCCACCGTAAATGGACCGTTAGAGGTAAGGACACTCTATATCGCGACTAGGTATCTCACGGAGAAGAGAATTTTCCGGAAATTCCTCCTTGTAAATATTCCCTTTTCGGATAGGCGACACGTAAACACTATCTCCGAATTTGTCCGTGGAAAGATAAAATATTTCCAAGCAAAATCATCCACCAATCCCGTTTCTTGGATACACCCTGTTGCGTGCCAAATACTGCAACCCTCACGGTGGGAGTTTCGCCCGTTTACACGGACGCGACAATGTTACTGGGATGCGGCCTACTCTAAATTAATAGAGCTAGACCTGGTTAGAGGTGAACTAAAGAGTTCTGACGTGTGACTGTCTCTGGAGACGAGTTAATCGTCATATTGTAATTTATTTATAATTTAATTAAATTCTAAATTTAATACACTTAAATATATTAAAATAATTAAAAAATTGTACAAAGTCCTCTGGAAATTATATGTATAGGAAACGGAAGTTTTCCCAGGACTTGCGAGAAAGTCCTCGAAGTCGGAATCTATTTAGTAGCGAGGGTGAGAATGATAGTCGCTATAAAATTTATTAATATTTATTTATTATTTAAATTTAAAATCATTTTTAAATTAACCCTTTCGCTACCAGAGCCTCAGGAGAAAAACCGCCACCACAGCCCAGACGTCTTATTATTTAAATATGATACTAATTGTCATTTATTTTTGTGGAATGTATCTATAACGTTCTAACTAAGTGAAATTAGCAATTTTATAAGCCGATACACATAAGTGACACTGGGCTATAGATAGATAATTCCTTTGGTAGCCCCGTCGTCACATATATGTGACACATTTCATTAAAAGGATGATGAACACTCGTCACATATTTGTGACGCCGGACTCAGATAGGAAAATCAGGTCGTCGCATATATGTGACGCTGGTAGCGAAAGGGTTAAAGCTCCTCGTGACTGTTGTCTCGATGATTTTATAAGTTTGTATGTCTATTGATTGGTTGGTGTGAAATGTAAGTGTGTGTTTTCCTATTGGTTGTGAATAATATTGGGGGTGTGTGTTAGCTTCGACGTCCTTCGGTGGTGGTGGATGTTTTAAACAATTTGGGTCCTTATGCTGAAGGTCCTATCGTCTGAAGGATGATTTATTGACCGTTGCTAAGGTTCACCCAAGTGATGACCAGGTGACGAGTGAAAAGACGTTGACGATAAGGATATAAAACAGTCCCCACTTAATTTGGGACTCGCTGTCCTAGGGCCGCGACACTCCCATTACGCGTTGGTAGATGCAATCGGGAGAAGAAGAAATAGAAAAGGGACGATGATCGTTGGTGGGCTTAATCCGGGAAGCTGGTCGATCAAACGAGAAAGAGAATTTGGCAATATCTAGACTGCTTGGTTCCGCGGGATCGTCGATCGAGAGATTCCATTCGCGTTCACGGGACCACGGGATTCATTCGGAAAAGTGTATTGTCCATAGCCCGTCTGGGTTTCGCTTTACCCGGATGGAACATATTGAATCAACCAGCCGGAAGGAAACTCGGTTTCAGCGAAATATGCCACGAATTTCGGCTGCCTTCGATTCACCCTCGGCCACCCCCGACGTTGCTTCCTCCGCCATCAAGAAGGATCCGCTGCTCGCCGAGGGTCCTCGAGGACCTTTCGGGTGTCGCGCTGATGAAACAAGGTCGCAGACGTCTGCGATCCCTGCCGCGTTTCTGCCAAAAAATCTCTCCGTGCAACCATCACCGACCTTCGCGATTATTTATGCGATTCGGCGATTTTCGCGCGCCGGATCGTCAGGATTGTTAAAAACTTGTAACGAGCTGATCGAGGCGCGTGTTTTCGATTGTTCCGCAGGGTGGGTAAGTTTTAATTGGCCCGACGCGCTTTCACGGCTGACCGGTAATGCCCGGGGAATCGGTAATCGAGTCGATTCGGCCAGCTTATTTACCAGAGGCGTTAGTTACGCGAGAAAAGCCACGTTCGCCGGTATTCGTGCCATAGCGATTAAACGTGATCTGTTTACCCATGCACGTCTAACTGCAGCTGACTTTACAACCCAAGTCAGATCCTAATCATTCCACAAGACACCATAAGACAACCAGATGTATAAAAATCCATCGATTCTTTAACACTAGATTTACGGAACCCGTCAATTGGACTGAAAGGCTGCTCCAATTATACGATGGTAACTGAGTTAGTTAACTTATATTGACTGTTAACCATTTGCACTCGAGAGGTGATCCTCAGTCACCGTTTCATAAAATTTAGAAGATCGATATTAATCAATATATCAAATTTGATTTAACGTAACAATGTGCAAGGTATCGAAATCAAACAATTCTTTGTTTACTGTTCAAAAAAGTATTGTAGGATACCAAAAAATATCGCGAATCGGCTATTGCCAACAAAGAAACAAATTCTAAACCGATCGATATCTTCTAGAAGCAAATCGAAAAGTTATTCTATATACCAAAATTAAGTTGCGGGGCTCCCCTATGGGGAGGTGAAGCGTAGGTCAAGGAAATTATAAAAACGTGGTCCTTGACAACCAAAACAGAGTCCTTAGAAATCAGTTGTGACCAGCACAAGCGTGAGTCGCTTGGTGTTGGAAAGAGAGTTTTAAAAGAGTGCGTGTTTGTGTGTTTTCGTTATCTTGGTTTCCCTAAGTTAAATCAGTTTACGAGTTTTGAGTTTGTGTTATCGTGTTCTTGTTCTTTCGTGAATTTTCGGTGTCTCAAGACCAGTTCTGCCATCCTACAGTATCGTCAGTTTTTTAATAGAGAATCAGGTGCAAAGGGTTAATATAATATATAATTGTTTTTAATTAAAAGTAATCGTTAAAAAAGAAGGCACGTGTGGTTTCCTTTATCTGTCAATTTGACAGATGTGCTTAGAAATAGATATACAGATAGTGTCCGTGAACCTAGTGTTAATAAACCAATCAGTAATTAAGTTCTTTGTGCAGATGGTATCCTCTATATCTATCAGGTATCGCGAGCCTAGATTCGATAATTCGAAGAAAATATTACGTGTCGATAAGAAATCGATTCAGAAAACGATTTTGAAATCAGCAAATCGATGATTAATTTTAATCGCTCCATCGCGAATTAATTTCGGGATTATGGATGATCGATGGTTTACTATTTCTCCTCTTTCCAGATATAGAACAGATAAACCTTCAAATATTAGGTTATCTATGAGTGTTAAGATACAGATTAATTGCATAGCTGATACGATGTATCGGTGCATGAGCGAAAAACTGGCTATATTTGCCAACATTTCGCCACACCTTAACCCTTTGCACTCGAGAGACGCCCTTCAATCTCCATTTAATAAAATTTGGAAAAATGGAAGATCGGTATTAATCAATATGTCAAATTTAACATAATGTAACGAAATCAAATAATTCTACGTGTTAATTATTATACTATTCTTTATTTACTGTTCAAAAAAATGTCGTCAACTTTATAGCAGAAAATCTTCGAACTGCAACTTTTCGTTAGCAAAAAAATCGTCGAGTGCTAAGAGTTTAATCTCTCGACGCTCTGACGATGCCTGATTATGCGAGTCTGTTTATATTTACATGAGTACGTATCGTTCGTGGATTCGAAGAAATCAGGTTCTGCCGCAACAGTGTTTCCGATTTTAATTCGTTCGTGATTCACAGGCACTTATCTTCTGTTCAATTTCTCGCGTAACGTATGAGAACTGCTCAATTTTTAGTTAATCGAATAAGAAGGGTGAATAATTATCAACTTTTTTATTCAGGATCATTCGATCGCTCGATTACAATTTTAAAGAAAAATTAGTATCGCAGTGGCTAGGTTCGCATACATTTTTAGGCGTTTTACTTCAATTATTTCCATGTGTAAAGATTACGTTAGGCTCTAGGGGCCGATGCTAGACCGATGCTTTTCGTTTAGGCTGGGCCGGTATTGCTCATTGATTGTGAGACTAAATATTTTGCTTAGGCGACATCGGTTTTTATTTAGTCTAATTATATGAATATAATATATTATATATAATATTAATTATATTAATATATTACATTAATATATATATATGTAATATAGTATATATTATAAACACATAAAAGAAAAATGTAATATATTAAAACAGGATAAACAAAGGTGTAGTTTGGACCTACATTTGTTACAAAAGGTGCTAATTTTTGTGTCAAATTCTTCGCCATCTTAGGACCTAATGTTTGGGAATACCTGTTATAACAATTGATACAGTATCTCCGAGTTTTCTGAACATTTCATGCCTGCCGCCGGTGGCCCATTTGACGGCCGAGTCTGGGCCTGAACGGAACGGCAAGCAAGGCACTTAACGTGTTAACCCTTTGCACTCGAGACGCGCCCTTCAGTCGCCATTTGATAAAATTTCAAAGTTTGATATTCATAAATATGACATCTCGGTGTGCGAGGTATCGAAATCAAATAATTCTACGTGTTATCACACGATTTCTAATCCTGCTAAGAAAAATATCTTCAGTTTTGTAACAAAAAATCCTTAAACACTTTGGCCAAAAAATCGCCGATGGTAATTATTTCGTTGGATTATAATATTTTTGTTCGTCATACTTCTAGTATGACAACATTTTCGTTGATCAATTTCATCATCCATTTAACAATCTTTGGTCAGGACGCACTGATTGAGTTTGTTCCTCACGTAGCCTGATTTACATTCACAACCTATCACACATTCCTGTAACAGAAAATCCACGTGGGTGTCAAACGTCGTCTCGCGATTGGTCGATTGACAGTCGAGGAATGTGATAACGTTGCTCACGAGAAGATAAACTTATCGATAACGAGATACTGACCAGAGTACAGACAGGAGGTGCTGGCTTCTCGCAGGTGTCCACGCACTGGGATCCACAGCTATTGAACACTTCGTTGGGTCCGCAGTTTTGCTCATGTCCTGGCGCGGACTGCGTAGCTGTAACAACGAGTTTCTCTGTTTACAGTCACAAAATGCCCTGTCACAAACGCTACTAAAGTGGACGATAGCCTGACACGATCGATGTAAACAAGGAAAACAATTGAAATCGTAACGATATATCTGTTTGTTTCGAAGATACGACTTATCTCGGAACAACTTACCCCGGGAATTTTTAGAAATAATCGTAACGCGTTGGTAGAACGAGGCAAAAATGGAAAACGAGTTAACTATCGACTGTAGAAATTGAACAAGGTCAAGACGACACAAGAAAAATACGTTAAAATGTGCGACTACTTACTGCCGTAAACGAGTCCTATAACGAGCAGGAGAAGAAAAGCTACTGTACGAGCCATGACGATTATCGAAGTCGTTTACAAATCATGAACAATAATTCAAATCACGAATCACTTCTCTGAATGCTGAAGGCTTGTCCGTGTTTTATATGTTTCGTCTTATCTTTTATCGTCATTTTTAAGCCGTGATATATGATAAAAATTTGATTAGTAAATGAAATTGGAAAGAATATCGAAGTTTGTACGAAGAGGATATATCTCGGTTAGATACCACTTTCAAGTATTCAGTTTCCAAGATGGAGGTTTATTGAGAACAATAGTGACTCAATGTATTCGAGTGAAGCGCTTGATACCAACTGTCTTCTTTGTTTCTTGTGGTTCCCGATGATGGGCTGGTGTTACTATGGTGCTGGCCTGGTGGTATCCCCGTGGTCGTCGTTGCTATTGATAGGGTAGCAGGTGGAAGGACTATGGGAAAAGGAAGGGATGCGTTTCGTCCCGGGCCTGCTAGCGGACTCATCATTAAAGCCACTTTAGCAGGCCCTGCCATAAACCAGGGATACCTAGGTAGCACTGGAACTTCTATTTAAGGGAAGTCGAGGAATCCATCTATTGGCAAGGGTGAGAACTTGGTCGCTACAATGTTCAACGTACTTGTTGCATATATCGTATTCTCAATAGCATAATTGCGAAGGCAAAATGTCGAGAAGAGACTGAGACTGAGATTGAATTTGAAGTACTTCGTGTCACCGATTTAATTGAAACTTTGTGGGTTTGTAGATTTCGTCATGCAGCTCAAGAATATATATCATTATAGTCGCCATTACTCGATAGTTTTTGAGATATTTACGATTAAAGTTTTATTACTTTTATATCTACAGATTTATTTCCAATGATTTTTAAATGGCGTTGTGGCCTAATAGCGATATCAGGAAATTCCTATGATGCAGGTCCTTGGTTCCATTCTCTCCCGTCTCTAATTGATTTCTTTCTTCAATCTTGCACTCTCCTTGTGAGATTGTGGTTGACCATTCGTGTTATCTCGCTTATCTCGCGTCCCGCTAATCTCGGCATTAGTTCGCCCGGTTTCTTTTGTTTTCCGAGATTAATCGGAAATCGGTCGATTCGGCTTAACAAAAGCGTGGAAGCAACTGTACGATCGCCGTGGGTCCAGGTAGAAAGTCGAACATAGGTCTACGTCGCCTTCCTCGCTAGCCCCTCTTTTCCTCCTCAACGAAATCCCTCATCGACGAAGTCAGGATAGGGCCAGTTTCACGGTCGTCGTGGCTCGTTTTACGGCACGGATACGACGTTTTGATCGCGATGAATACCGACCAGTTTGACCGGCGTTACGTAACTCGACGCATCAGGACAAAGAACCGTGGATTTGGTGGGTCGTTGGGTTCGCGAGAGGACCTCGATCGATCGCGATGGCGTCAGGGATATTCTCGGGTTGCGCCTTTGATAGCAAAGGGCGTGCTTATTTTCCGCAAATATCGGCAATTGTTATCAGACCTGTCCTCCTATTCGTCGCTCTTCGTTGACTCTACGCTGTTTGATCTTCGCTGAGATCTTCCTAGAAGTCAGCGTTCGACAAAGATGGCTGCGCGGAATTTTTAACGCGGCCTTGGTTTATCTCCTCGATCCTGCCTCTCTCGTCAGGTCTGACTAGATCTTTCGATCGACCGTGCCCGATCCGTATTACCTTTCGAATAGTCACGATTGTCGAAATCGGACGGCACGATTTAGCGGAACCCGATGATCGTTAGTCCCGCGACAGTTGCATCCGCGCTTGGAAATTTTCCCAACGAGGTTTGCGATCGACGATTCGATCGGGTCCGGTGAGTAAATATTTTTCTCGAGTTACATTTTAACGCAATACGTGTTTCCAAAAGAAATCACCTCGAGATAATGCGTTATCGCGGCACATTTGAGACACGCGGCGAACTGCTAACGAGTCCATAATCCGGACAGGGAGGTCATGATCTTTGACATCGGTGACGATTTTAACTGAAATTCATCCGCGCCATTGCGTCTCACTTGAGGTATCAAGATGTACCGGAATGGAGATTATTAAAACCAAATAAATAGCGTCACGCAAATATTTATTTCTCTTCTCGCGTACACTCTACATCCTACTACTTTCTGTGTTTATTCTTCTTAAACGCGTGCCGACGTCTATCCACCTCTATTACGTCGCGTGTACCTTGGCCAAGCTGGAATCGCTTCACGGTTTCAGCTGCAGGACTGCAACGAGATAACGATTCGTGGAAAATATCGAAAATTGCGGTTACACTCACCTTGGTTCTGAACTATGTCGAGTATACACGCCACGATGCTCACGCACTGGCCACGGCTGTTCCTATAGTATCCCCATTTGCATTTGCATCCTTGTACGCAAGGCTGGAAGAAACGATAATATCCCTCGGAATTTTGATTTTTATCGGTATTCCCGTCTTCGTTTTTCTACTTACGTCTGGGGTGCAGATTTCTGGGAAGGGGTTCTCGCAAGTCTCCGGACACTTGGGAACGCACGTCGTGTACTCCTCGTTTCTGCCGCATAGTATCGACGTCTCTGTGGAAGAACCTACATCTCCACTGTGAATCGTGAACGCAGCAAAATGTTTGATAATTACTTGACACACTTACCAGAGCCGTTCGTGTCGTCAGCAGCCACCAGAGCTCTATTGGGCACGACTGAAAGAGTAATGTTCTCGGTGTGAATATCGGCCAGTGTTTCGCACCGGATAATTTATCATTCCCTCGTGTCGTCTTTTAATCGTCCTTTTATGCTAACGAGCGAACGATAGCGCGTGGAAATTAGGGAACCGAATTATGGCTTATCGCTTGTCCGCGAGGATAAACGCGCAAAGATGAGGAACCGAGATTGACGAGGGAGAAAATTAACCGGATGACTTATGGTTATTAGGCGACAGCAAAAATTGACAGGAACGTTTAGTGCACTTACGTATGAGACAGAGAGACATCGCTACTAGCACTGTCGCGATGGGCTTCATTTTTCCGCAGATTTTCACGGTGGATTAAAGAAATCAGACATTGCGTTGCGATCGTCGCGCAGTCCCTTTTTATATTAACTCCTTGGCTTATTTGAGGACAGTATAATTCATTCCCGACGTTTATAATCGTTGTTCAAACGAGCTCGTGCTCGCGACCGAGTTTATTCTTTCGTGCGTGCCTCGGCTATCTCGTATCTCGAGCCGAATCCAATGACCTAGAATACCCTGCACTTGCACTGCGAGTTTAAATTCAAATTTAACGTTTATCCATCGCACGACGTCGAGTGAAAAAAATTCGCCTAATTCTCGACACGTGTACCGAATATTCCATTAGCTATCCTCCGCGCTCGTCGCGATACGTATGAAGCGGGCGCAAAAGTAGAACGATAAAAATGTGATAAATGAAGGCAACAATTCTTCCAAGGATGAATTTTACAATATAAACACCTCGAAGTCTATGTCGCGAATATTCGTGAAGCATTTTATAGCAACTGTTGGCTCGTGGTCGAAACTGTTACTCGAAAATGTCTCGTGTGTCTACTCTTCTTCTCATCCTTGCCGTTGCTCTCGTCTGCAGTAAGTACTTCATACCTAACTGGAAACCATCGCTTTCGAATTTTTCTTGTATCCTACATCGTCTCCTGCCCTCTTTCGTGTGTACATCCTCGTTACTGCTTACTCCGAACGTTTATCTCCGAGTACTTTCGTTTCCTCCGAAAAAGGAGCTACCTATCCTCGATTGTTTATCGTTTCATCGCCTCATTACAGTAAGCAGCGTCAATTGCGCTGCACAAAGATGCGGTCCAAACCAGGAATTTAGACCATGTGGAACGAAATGTGAACAGAGGTGTGGACAGCCCCCGGTTTCGTGTCCAGCGGTTAGTATAGGCATCGAGTACTCGTGTATCATAAGAATTTCGACTGTATATCGTTCTCGTTAATTCTCCCTATGCACACTGACGCACCGTTCTCGATTAACACGTTTATTTCCGCCAGGTATGCGTGGAAGCCTGTAATTGCATCAAAGGATACGTGAGAAATGCCAAAAACCAGTGCGTCGAGCGTAGCAAATGTTAGGATTCGTGGAGGCATAAGTGACATCTGGATGGCTATGTGGGAAAGTGCTAACTCTCGAAAGGAAAATGTCACGAATGCACGCGTGAATTCGGCTTCGTATATTTGCTTATCTCATTTCTTGTATCCGTTGTGTCTGCGTTGGAAAATTATTCCGCGCAAATAACGCGAATAAATGCAAATTTAAAGCGACCGCTGTCGTAAAACGTTACTTGTTCGCCACTTATCTCCGAAAGGATTAACCCGTGTTTGCGTCTATCCTGTTTCAGCGTGTATCAGGTACGCGATAATCTGACATTGAAAACGGCCGTGAAATCTCGACACGTTTCTCGAATTTAGCGATATGGCTGAAGTGGACTGGCGAATAATCGACGCAGGATTTGAGGATTTAAAACACCAGTTTATTAGCATGACCGTACACATTGTACCGGGTCGAAGTTGAAGGACGTGGCCAAGTGGTGGTCATGGGTAGAAGCGAGAAAGCGAAATAGTGGATAAAAATCCACGAATGATGAAGCACACGTTCAAAGCTGCTAACAGTCCGCCGGAGCAACGCAGGTTCCCTCTCCGTTCCTCAGGAACCCGGTCTTACACTGACAGCCGATCTTGCATTGCTGAAAAAGACGAAAGAATCGGTGTAAACGTGGGATCAGCGACTAATTTATAAAGTTAAACGTGGGATCAGCGAGTAATTTATAAAGGTAAACGTTGATACCGACATAGGTACAAACGCCTAGGCGTGGTTTGGCACACGAAGGCTCGCAGGCTGATCCACAGGTCCTGAACTCCTCGTTCAATCCGCACTGCTGACCGAAGGAACCTTCGAGAACACAAAATTATCCGTCACTGAACTTCCTCTGACTCACCGATACCCATAGTTGATGAAAAGGGAATGGGACATCGAGAAGATCGCATTCTCATGCGTGAACTTACTAGTGAAAACCGCCATGACGACGAGGCAAACTAGGAGGATTCGTGACATTGTCGGTCTCTGCTCCGAATTGTCACGGACGCTTGCGACTGACGCTACTGGCCAACTTCCCCAACTACTTGCCTTTATATACTGGCCTTACGAAACCAGGGAATCGTAGATCGTTTTAGCTCGTTTATTTTCCTCGTTCGGCTGCGTTCATCCTTGTTCATCTTTTCGGACGTATCTCCGTTTCTCTTTATCTCGTTCCTCTCTTCTTTTCCGGCTAACACGCGGCCAAGATGTAAACGAGAGGAATCCTGCGTTCGTTTTACACGACCACGTCTGTCAACGATAAACGGACGCCTTTGTGTCGGACCTTCGCTAGCCATTTCGCACCTCGTTCCGAGTTGACTTGATAATCGCTGCCACGACACTCGAGAGGATCCTAGAAATCCTCTTAGAGCAAATTACGAAACGGGAACGCGTTGACAGAGGTATGGATCTCGAAGTATGCATCTATAGACCTGGAAGGTGTATTTATAACGATGTTTCCCTTAGTCTTTCGTTGCTATATCGGTTGTCATAACGATTCGCGATAGAATATCGAACGGGTACCATAACAAATCTCTTGTCAGCGTCATTGCGTCATTCTGGTCTGCTTTCTCCGTTTAAACCTCTCGTGTAAATGATAAAAATGAAGAGCAGAAAATTCGCGTGGCGAGTCTTTATTTGGATGGCGTCACCCTGCATCCGGATCTATCTTTGCTTCGAGGAAAATTGATAAGCTGAATAGTTTCTTCGAAGCAGTGGGCTGGTGTCATGGAGCCTATGAAAACACTGTCAAAGGGTTCGAAGGGATACCTTTCTTTGGCAGTCAATCATACGCATCACGCATTGCGGAAAAACTCGAGTTTCCGCTTCCGCCATTTTGAAATTAAGAATAAAAGAGTGAATGTTCTTATTGAGATTTATTATCCCGATCTTTATCATACTTGTTTGGCACGATTCTGCCTAGGAACAGAGGAAAATTGGTTGCTGCTATGAAAAATACTCGAGTAGAAAGTGGAATACGTTTAGATACTTCTCTAATTGCGTTCACACGCTGTGCGATTTTTCCTATTCTTCGTTCTTCCTTAATTGTGTCTCGATTATATCGTTAGCTCCGCAACTACTTACGCAATTACGAGAAAGATCAGCTGCGTAATATTCGCTAGAACTAATTATTAATGCTATTAAAAGGAGGAAGACATGAGGCATAACGGGGAAACGAGGAACCCCAGGGTGCACCACGAGCAATACGAAGTTTCTACTGTTCAATCGTCCGAAACTTCAGCGATTACGAGCAGTTACCTCGAGGTTGCGGCTTTGCAGCCGTAATGCGTAGCACGGATAATAAGCGCCTATTTACTTATCGGTTGTTTGCTAATTATTTCTAAATTTCATAAACACCCGGAAAAGTCCCTGACTTTTGTATAAACGTTTCCTTTCGAGTGATTTCGACCTGATATCAGCCTGGATCCTCGTCGTACCGATTTGCCAATCGCGAGGTATAGCGAGGGCCCAGCAATTAGCGAGTGAAAAGGGTCGAGCCTCGGCTGATTCGATTGGGAAATTTAGACTGGTGAGCTCTCACCTTGTCAGCACCGCGATCAATCCAATGCAGATTCTCCTATCGACGTTTGCTTTTACCTTAAATGCCGTTTCGTTGTCGGTGGAGACAACGAGCCACGAATTCCACCCTCTCTCTTCGTCGCTCTCGCGGCTTCCTCTCCGCTTTTGCACGTTTTATTCAGCCAGACCCAGCGTCGACAATCGAATATCCGACAGTCAAAATGCTATTTATTATTGAGCACTCAGCACCGACTTTCTCCATTTCGTTTCCTTTTTACCCCCTCCCTGCCCGCGAATAATTCGTTTCCATAGTCGAACGCCCCTTTATGAAATTTATTACCTCGTTTCTTCCTACTTCGCGTCGGTAATTCCTTTTTTCTCCGGCGTTTCGTTTTTCTCGGAGAAATCGGCCGATAGATGGACCGGTCGCGTAACACGACCGTAACGTCTGCAACGGTCGAGAAATTCGTCGTGGTTCTCACCGTCGGTCGACATCGATTCGCTCGACCTATTTAGCGTTTTCACGGGATTGCCGTGAAGCTGGAAGAAACGTTGCTCGTCAACGGGGACCAGCAGCCAGTGACAGCGGAAAACTCGATTGGAAGTGCTCGAGTTACCCTCCTCGACCAGTGCTTCCCTTCTTGCTTGCCCGCAGACGTTCGCCCTTCGCTCTCTATTCCACTTTTCACCCCTCTGTAACGTCACGTCACAGGAGGCGAGCGGTGGCTCCTTTGTCCCTGCCAAGGGCCACCATTTTGCCCCCCATGGAACGGCCGTTCTGACACAGTGACCCGATATTAACGCGTCCAATCAGCGTCCCTCCGTTTCGAACAATGCTAAACGCTCTCTATTCTCCCTGCAAGTTTCTCTAAACAACTTCGTACGACGGACTTTTTCATCCGGTAGATCTACATCTACGACACCGTCCTATTTCCCCAGCAGAAATAGCTTTACAGAGATAATCTCTGAACCTGGCGCGATAACGCATGGGAAAATTATGCCGGCTCGGCTTCTGTTCCGAGTTACGTGCATAACGTATTAACGGTATCGTTGCGCGTTCTTCCATTTCGATACATTAAATCGCCATCCTCGTTCGTCAGACGTCTTATCGTAAAGGACATCGTGCCTCGACGCCAGGGTTCCAGCCACGAGCATATGCATTAGCGCGTTTAGAAACGGAATTACCGATTCTGGTAAATTCCCAATGTCGCGTAAACGGGAAAAACGTCCGTGAAAATGAAGCACGCGATTTTCCGAGACTTATGTCTTTCACCAACAACGCGCAAATATTACAGCGTAATTAGAATTGTTCATGGATTGGAAAAAAGTCAATGACAGGAAAGAGAGGAAAGAAAGGGGTACGATTGATACATACAATGAACGATAATCTCGCATATACATGGATTCCTCGAAATTTTTTTAAGATTTATCTGACGATAAAAAAGGAAGGTATTAAACACATTAAATGTGACACGTTAATGCTAAGTAACTTAATGAGAAAATTCCAAGTGTATTTTTCTCTTTCGCGTCTGATGATTCACTCGTCTAAAATGTGGATAGAAATGACCACCAAATCTTCTACGTTTCTTCACAGTTAACGCATTAGTATATTTAGATAGAAATATTTAAGTAATGAAAACAACTCGCAATAAACTATTTTAACACTAGATTTACGGAACCCGTGAATTTGACGGAAGGGTTGCTCCAATTATACGATGGTAACAGATTTAGTTAACTTATATTAAGGCTGATAATATAATATATAATTGTTTTTAAATTAAACTAATCGTTAAAAAAAAGGCACGTGGTTTCCTTTACCTGTCAATTTGACAGGTGTACTTAGAAATAGGTATACAGATAGCGACCGTAAACCTAAACTAATCAGGTTTCGGTTTAAATTAGGTTCGGTTAAAAAGTAATTAAATTAGGTTAAAAACTAATTAAATTATTTTTTTTTAAACCAAAAAATAATTGACACTTTCTAGAAAATTCTTCTCTCTTTCTCTCCCACTCTTATTAACCCTTTGCACTAGAGAGGTGGCCTTCAGTCACCGTTTCATAAAATTTGGAAGATCGATATTAATTAATATATCAAATTTGATTTAACGTAACAGTGTGCGGGGTATCGAAATTAAATAATTCTACAATTCTATTATTATACAATTCTTTATTTACTGCTCAAAAACGTATCGTCAGTTTTTTTAGTAGAGAATCTTTGAATTTCTACTCTTCTCTAGCCAAAAATCGTCGAGTGCAAAGGGTTAACCGTTACATACCCATGTTCTCTCTTTGACGATTCTCACATAACTGTTTTATTCTAGCACATTCTTTTAAACATTTTTCAAACATCATTCATACTAGACTGCACCCGCATATATTGTATTTATATCATCGCAAATGAGTTTCACTTATTCAACCTCATTCCCATTCATACATATAAAACACGCAGAAAATACCTCGATTAATGATATCTGGGCTGAACAGATTTATTTATCTGACACCGAGAAATTAATTTCTGTAATATCTGTAAACCTTTGTATATCTTATCGGAAAGAAATGTTGGGTGACTAACGATTCGTTGGCTCTTATTTTTATTCTATTCTAGTAGCTGTTAGTCGCTAAAAGGGCCTAGCTAATAAACGCAGACCGATTTCAGAGTTCAAACACAATCTACTCATTCCTACTTTCACTAAGGGCCAATGGTCATCTTCATCCCACCAAGAACTAACATTATATAAGCACCTACAAAATTTGCGAAATGTCAGATTTTTCTTCTCAGCCGACTTGTATTTTTCCGACGTAGTCTTGTTGCTGGAACGTGTATTGCATATAGAAATTCGGGTTTCAGCATGGACCAAAGTACAAGATAACAGTGCAAAACCTGATAATTTTGCCACTGCTGTTATAAAGCCATCCCGGTAGTCGAGTACCTGACGTTGAACAGTGTCCACGAAATGATGGTCACTAGTGACCACCTTCAAAATGATTCCTATTGACTGTCTGACTTCCCTGGACGTTTCTTTCATAGACAGAGCTTTGGTCACTGACAACTATCAGACTATTCTGGTCGTTTCTGAACTTTCTTTTTCCCCAACTGTCAACGCGGACAGTGTCCATCTCGGGGATCGATGATGGGAAATAATGTATTGCTGCGCGGGTTTTTCCTTTCGAAGATTCCCTCCTTATGACAATCATAATACTCATAACACTCGTGTCGCTTTATTACGATAAAATCGCGTAATCGAGACTTGGAAAGACTTCCACGTTCGGGGAAGCATTACTATTCTGCACCAGACTATTTAACGGAAGAATCCAATCGTTTCCAAGAAGCGAAAGAATTTCGTTGATCACTCAGTGTGGAAATACGGTATTAAAATATATAGCATCCCAGATAGGAAAACAATATACGCGGTTCGTGTAATACAGGTTTGCGAGATCAAGGATAGGAAGATAATAAATTGCAAGGATGTTGGAAAGCATCGGTTCGGAAAAAAGTGATCGAGCTACATTTCTGTAGAAGGAAAAGAAAGGGGAATCACAAGATGGTGAGGCAATATCGTAATGACTTGTTTGGAATGTGTTCGTTTACCCTAGATTTGATGTGTGAGTGAAAAACATTTATGTAACGTATATAAGCATCAGTTGTCGCATTCGCAGGCCAGTTTATACTTAATCGAGAACATCGAGTGCTTCAGAGAGATGTCAAGATTCGTTGTTCTATTGTTCGTCACCTTGGCGGTGTTGTACACCGGTAAGTCTTCTACCAGTTGGTCTAGGTGACGTAATTTTCTGAGAGATGTCAAGATTCGTTGTTCTATTGTTCGTCACCTTGGCGGTGTTGTACACCGGTAAGTCGTCTACCAGTTGGTCTAGGTGACGTAATTTTCAAAAGAGTCCGAAAAATCGAGATGGATAGTGAGAGTTCGTTGTGTTTCAGCCGCATACGCTAAGAAACTCGTCTGTGACATGCCAAACGAGGAATACCATTGTGGAAGCGCCTGTCAAACCACTTGTGCCACCCTGGGCCAACCTTGTCCGATCAAAAATATCGTGAGTTCAAGTTGATCCAGAGGTCGACTCGGTTCGATATCATTCGACCGGTAGATATCAGCGTGGTTTTGCTTGCAGAGATGTAACGACGCCTGCTATTGCAAGAGTGGCTACGCCAGGAACCGCAGAGGCATTTGCATTCCCGTACAAAATTGTTCCAAGAGACGTCACGCTGTCCCATTGCTGCGTCTCGACTCCATCCTTTACTAATATTTCCCAGCGTAATTGCTCTGCGAACTTACATAACTATCATCTCTACTCTCGAATCTCGTAAGAACGTAGATAACAAAGCGCTGACATTCTTCCGACACGTTCCAAACGCACACGCCTGTATCGCTCTGGTACGCAGTTCGATTCGCAATAAAACTCGGATTGCGCCATCGCGTAGATGGAAAATATTCGCTGACAGTCTATTAAACGTTTATTTATTCTACATTCGTCGTCTTGCGTCTCTCCCTGTTCGCTCCACGTACAAAGTTCAGCGTTATCCGCGATGCATCGATTGCACAACCTGCCGGCAATGGTGAAACGACGTGCACACTTTCGCGCTGTTTCCTCCGACTGTACCTCAGATCCAGGTTCCCGTGGGATCGTCGTCGCGTTTGCTTTAAGCCGCTTTCGAGATTAGCGAAGGCAGAGCCGTTGTCCGGCTGCTGACGAGCCAGACTTTGCGGCACGAAAGCGAGTTCCGCGAGCAAGAACAATCGGAAAGTCAAACAGTTTGACCCGGGGAAGAGGGGCTTCAATATTTGGATGCGTAATGTAATTCACGGACAAGTCGAAAGCACCGAGGCCTCCCGATATTCCCTCCCCCGTCGCCCCTTGGTCGGCCGCGAGATCGCGATGGACCATTGGAATCGAAAACGGCTTGCCGATAAGGCCAGTCGCGATAAAAGTTTATCGCATCGCAGTGCTCTCTCTCACCCCTATCCTCTCCGCTCTCACGTTTGTCTGAACGCTCCGTGTCGCAGCCAGAAGGGTTATCTGCGTCGGAGGCCGGTGTTTGCGTTTCGCTTTCTCGGATTCGACGGAACAACTGTTTACCGTGCCACCACGGCGATTCGTTTGCGCAGAGATATTCGCTTTGCACCGTCTCTGTTCCGCGAACAGGTATTTCGCAAATACGCAGCGACGAAACGCATCTGACCGGCAATGAACCGGAGGATCGCTTATCAATAAGAGGTACAAGATGGCGGTTCATCGCGAGGAAAGATAACGAGGAAGGTAGGTCGTACGTAACTCGCACACTCGTCGCGACCAGCGTCTATTCGAATTTCGCATGCTGCTCGACACGTGCGCTCTGCTCATTCCCCTTCTGCGGTCGAACGGAGAGGAACGTCGGGATGGATGAAAGAGAGATAGAGAGAGGGTGAGAGTAACCCTGGCCCGAGGGGTTGCTCGAGTTTCCAGCGGGCATTTGTTTAATTGGGAACCGACATGGCCGCCAGAGCTCACCCCTGCATCCAACCGCCCCATCTGCACGATCACATCGTCGCGAAAATGCGTCGCGTGCCACGTGCGCTCGGTTTTTCGCCCTGTGACCTTGATTCCCTATCGCTGCATATCCAACGACGACGCGTTGCACCGCATTCCGTCGATAATGGCCGCGCTTGCGTTGCATCGATCTGGCTCGCAGGGGTTGCCAGACAGCGCGCTCGCTGTTTACTCCCAGTCCCGTTCTTCTTCGCGTTTTTGGCGGAAATTCAAAGATTTTCCACAGATCCGCCTCCTCTGGCACGTAACCGAGGAGGTGTAGGGTGCTCGAGCGCTACATCCTTCATAGTTGCCTAGTAGGCAAACGGCGATTAGATGGTTGACACTTTGACTGTCACGCACTTTTCGTATGGCTATAAAATTTCCATTATTCTTATGTGACGATGATATAACGACGAATTATCGAATAATATGGCTAACAAAACACCGTGCAAATTATTAACGTCTTCTGCTCAAAGTCCTCTATCTATTCGCGCTGGTCAAGTTTTCAAAGAATAGTTGGAATAAAACAAATATAAATTCAAAAAATTAGTATGGCCGAAGACTGGAGATCATCATGGCCCTACCGAAGAGACAACCTCTGGTCACCGATGAGGACCACCATGACAGTCAACGTTCCGGGTCACAGTGGGATCTTTACTTCGGCGAAGCACGCTTCTCAGGGAATATACCGTCCTAATCTGTCCGACCTCGAGACTCCGATGGGACTATCGAATGGTCGTCGCGTGGAGTGCTTCGATTTTTTCATCGTCGCATCGTGACGAAACAATCGCAAGGGAACAATCGCGAGAGACGCTCGACGTCGGGCGACTTTCTCTCTGTCCGCCGTTACACTTCCGTTCCTTTCGCTACATTTCACCGCCTTTATCTCGCGGCAAGCGGGAAAAAAGTTTGAACAGGCAGCGAGGCAGCGCGGATCGGCGAAAGACCGTGGCAGAAATTTCGCGGGCGAATTTCCACGGCGCAGTAACGACGCAGATTACTCCCCTTTGTTAGTTCACTTGTCGTGCAAGCTGTTATCGGGAGAGCACCGACGAGGGGGGTGACTGTGAAATTTCCGCAGCGAGCAACATGGCCGCGGCTGGATCAACCCCTGCGCGTCAAGTTTCCCGCGTCTCTGTTAGGGACACGGGTCGGAGAGAGAAAGAGGGTGGTACAGGGCTATATTCCGGTCGCGTTTTACGCGCTGCGTATATTATTATCGCGAGTTCATTCCAGCCTCTCGGCCGCCACTCCATTCGCCCGAATGAACGCTGGATCAAAGTGACATTCCGCCATGAAATTCCGCCACCTATAATTCGGTCTTTGCGGGATTTCCTACTAGATCGAGGGAGGGTGCCGTCTTTGTTCGCTGCGTCGTAAAATATACACCGTTTCCGGCCTGGCATATGGCGTATACCGCCAACCGCTGGGTACAGTTTCCGCCATCGTTTCGTTGCGCGCGAATCGTCGGTTGGGGAGAGGGAAGAGGGAAGAGGAGAAAATATATAACTGGGCTGGAAGAAATCCGAACACGGTTCTTTATGGAACACGGTAAAGAAATCCGTGCTCCACGCGAAACAGGGTGGATATAGTTAGGATATACTAGACCCCGGCTAAAAACGCCGCGCCCCTAATGTCAGCCGGGGTATTATGAAGCGCACGAGGATACTTTCTAAGCAAATGCTCGACGGTGGTTCCGGTGGATTAGAAAATACTGCCTGAAGGGCTTTGCCGTGGCTTCTTGGCTGAGAACGAGAAGGGGCCAGCGCGTGCAAAGAGAGCAGGCTGTTCAATCGGCTCGTATTTATCCTGGGCTAATTAATGAAAAGGAGGGTAGAAGGGAAAAAAGCCGGGTAAACAGCGGCAAGCGAGCTCTCGCCGAGCTATACGATCCAATACCATTTCGACCTACGTAGAAGAGAGAGAGAGAGAGAGAGAGACTCTTCTCCCTGCCATGATCCTTTCGCGCGTCTCGGGAGGGTAATTCCTGCGAATTTTCTCGAGCAATCAAACCTGGAGTTTCGATCTCGCCGAACGGGGAAGACACGTTCTCCGGGAAAATCCGCCGATATGATAATCCCGACGAAAGGCAAACACCGGGCTTCCTATGAATATTCAATCGAAGCGGAACGAGTGTCTGTTTATTCGCGCGGAACGGCCGTGTTAAATTACTTAAAACTGGCCATGAACGAGGATCAATAGAGGAAACGGCGTCCGATCGAGCGAGAGTCAGTTCGATGAAACTCTAATCCCGGGGAATCCTCGAGTCTCCTTGGAGCTCGAGTGAGGCTCGAGAACAGGAGAGCAAGAATCGTTCATCGGTGGGTCGGAAATTTTCATTGACCCCACAAGTGGCTCGTTACACGGGCCTCCTTTCTTTCCTCGCTCTTCTCCCCTCCCCCGGAGGATCCCTACCGTCGACTATTTCCCGAAATGGGCGTTCGTTCGTACGAATGATCGGCAAATCGATTGGAAAAATGATTGGGTGGCTTGTCGGACAGAATCGTCGGATCCGTCGAGCGGGACGGACGAAATAACGGCCGTGAGCAAGATAAATACGTTTCCCGGCTGAGGGGGAACGGTAAAGAAACGACAGAGATTTCTATTAGCCCCGACAAGCATCCGACCCTGCTCTACGAGCTTCTCGGTTTTCATTCCGCAATTAGCGTAACGAGCTGGCTAAGAAATCGAGAAACGATCCACTCAGCCGATCTTTCACCGTCGCGTCTTCCCTAGAATACAGCCATCGCTGATAACGCACATCCGCGGAGCAGTCCCGTTCGCTCCATCCAACATGGCGGTCACCTGCCACCGCGGGCTGCATCCTCCGACTGTTCCACTGCGAATACTCCATGCACCATTCGAACAACCTCGTCGATATCGTCGTTAAACTTATGCAATCGCGAAAATGTAATATAACAGTCCCGAAAGGCTAAACTGGAAGATCGCGATCTTCTCAGCTGCAATTTTGACAATGAAGTCGCGGTCAAACCGACGAAGCTTCACGTATGTTCGCAGACCATGTGTACCCTTCGGTGGAACACAATTTTTATGCCATACTTATGCGATTTCGTTGGTACGTATTGCCTGAATTTTAGTCGTCTTCTCCAAGGAACCATTATCACATCGACTACAATATCTTGGCCCGGTGAAAAACTTTTTCGTGATTGTCTGTCAATATGTTTAAGAGTGGTACAACTTCTCCAAGTCTGCTAATGCAAATTTGCTAATAGTAATTCAAAACAATTGCGGGACATCTTGCTGCATGGAAATGGAAAATTGTAAACAGGATTTTTTCGTGATTGTCTGTCAATATGTTTAAGAGTGGTACAACTTCTCCAAGTCTGCTAATGCAAGTAATTCAAAACAATTGCGGAACATCTTGCTGCATGGAAATGGAAAATTGTAAACAGGGTCCGTAGACCAATATCTAACAAGCGGTGTCTTTATTAGACCTATCCAAATGATCCGATAACGTTCTGGCGGATTTGGGCCCTGCAAGAAACTCAACCGAATGGCGCTCGGCAACGAACGTTTAACCCAGTCTTCTTTCTCCCAAATTTTCTTTGGCGTCCTATTGCGCGAAACTTGACCCAAATCCTCGTGCAACCTGGGATCGGAAGCCAGCGCAGAACTCGGGGAAGAAAAAGGACGGATTCCGTTTGGAAGGAAATCGATCGACCGGAAGGTACTTCTGCTCGACCCCCAAGCGTTAAGAGGATTCAGGGTCGGGGCGGAGGAGGAACGTTAAGAGAATTCACCCTCTGTAAAGTGGACCTCGGCCGCGAGGATCGGCTGACGCTGGCGTTTGTTTGCGCCGGCATGGCGGAAGTCTGCGAATGATATCGATAGCTCGGGGCATCGCCGGCCGAGGTTAACCCGTGAGAAAAATGACATTCGCCGTGTCGGCCGAGGAAAGCATCGCCACTCGCCGAGATTTAACGGACGCGTGCTC